AATAATTATGACTGTTATTTATTTTTTTTTTGGAGAAAAATGCATAAAAGTTAATTCATTTTAGGTTAAAATATATATTCTTGCTTTTGATCACGTACTACTTATTTGAAGTCCCCTCAAATAACATAGGTACAATATTCGAATAAGGTCCGAAGAAGGCTCACAATGATACTTATTTTCCACTACAAGAAAATTGTCAATTACTGACGGCTTTTTCCGACGGTTAGGATAAATTTTCTGGCGGTTATAAAAATTACCGTCCGTCTATTAACCGCTAGTATAAACTGCGTGAGAAACGAATTGCAGTGGTAAATTTCTGGCGGTTAATTTTACCAACGGCAGACACAGCCGGTAATTTCCGACGGTCATAGTGCCAACAACCGCTGGTTAATTACCGGCGGCGTACCGGCCATCTCAAACGCCGGTCTATTAAAAATATTTGGTCAAACCACCTTCTTCCTAAACACAAGTAATAACTTGTGATGCCCCATAAATCAATAGTGAAAGGATTCGTCTGACATTCTGATCGAACTCCATTCCAGCTGCCTTGCTCGGACCTGAAAATTTTAACCACATATAATGAGCTTACAAAGCCCAGCAGGTCACCAAAGCCTACAACTGAAATCAAAGGACGGCGATGCTATCAATATGCAGGTCAAATAAATCAAGTCAATCAATGGTCAATGAGTCTATGCAATACGGAAATCCATAGTCAATGAAATCAAGTCTGCACAGCGAAAATCAAATCAATATTCAATGCAGTATAATCAATACAGCGGTAAAAACATCGATAAATCAATACGTCTCAGCAATCAAATCAGTAAGTGCTTTCAATCAATATCTATCCATCATAGCAGTGTCTATCAATCAATACTATCAGTTCAATCAATCGTGTCGTTTAGTCAATTCATTGTATCTATATCATCTATCAAATCAATAGAATGTTTGTGTCAATTAATAGCAATCAATAGCATCGATTAATTCAATAAGGGACTCGTGTCAGAGCGTACTCTTGCAAATCAGTCAATCCAATTATTCAATACGATTCACTCGATATCAATATACATTATTCAATGACACTACGGCAGCGAGAACGATTCAATAATAACGACGTACGATGCTACAATAGGGGAAATCATCTCAATCAATAGAGCACTTTCCAGTCAAAAAAAATGTATAGCTTCCATAGTTGACCTACCTTGTATGAATCCAAATTAATTTTGCGAAACATTGCTATCATGCCTCAATCTATGCTCCATAACTCTCCCCCAAAGTTATAAAGCATGACACATTAAAATTAAAAAGTTTAGTGAAAGAAAAATCCAAACCTTTGGTTCAGGACATTGCCGGAGTGCTCGACGGGTTTCCGCGGCAGAGTGCGGGCGTGATCGGCGGTAGAGTGCGGGCGTGATCGGCGGCAGGAGCGAGGGCGAGATCGTCGGCCGGAGTTAGGGCATCGACGGTCGGATTCCTACGAAGGGAGTCGAAGGAGATCACGAGAGTCTGGAGGAAAAGGATACGTGAACAAATGAGGAGGGATGGTCGGGTTGACCAATTTTAAGTCAATTTCCAGCGGTTATCCGGCGGTTTCGACAGCTGGAAAAAAAAAATACTTAACTCCGGCGGGTAAGTCGCCGGTAAAGGTAACGTGAAAATAGCAGAACCGCGGCCTACCCGAGGGTTATTTTACAGTCAGCCTTTCCGGCAGTTTATTATTAAAAATTGCCAAGTAAACCGACGGTTAATACCAGCGGTCCAACAGCCGGTTTAACCACCGGTAATTCTGGCGGTTATTTGACTGCCGGTAAACACTAATTTTTATGCAGTGTTCATTAGATTTGGATCACTTAAAACTTATTCATCATTTAGGCTTCATTTGAGATAACTTTCTTATTGCTTTCTAAAACAGCATTTTCGTACAAAAACACTTGTTGTGAACGAATATTTGAAATTTCTTTATTGAATAATTTCTTGCAATCATTCATTGTTGTATTTCTAGAAAATAGTTGAACATCCCAACGAATATAGCTCAAAAGTGCTCGAACACCCAACCATTCAACACACTAGAATGACAAATCATGCATAATTATGCAAGCAGTAAAAAAATCACGAAATTCTGACGAGTCAAACTTATGATAAGTCATAGAAATAGAAGAATTTGAAGTGGTTTGCAATATGAGCTGGCCTATGTCACGTAGATCTCTTTTCTTGCAATTTTGCAAATGTCTTCTTAAGTTATCAGTCCTATTTTTACGCTCACACAAGTATTGTGCACCACATTTTTTACATTTACGCCTTTGCTTACCATATGTAGGATTAGATAGCATCTCAAAATGCCCCCAAGCCTTGGAAGTCATCCTCCTACGCTTCTTAATTACCATTGAACCATCATTAGATGGCTCTATCACATTATCTTCAATGTGAAGTTCCTCATTCTCATCAATAAAAAGTTCATGAAGTGTGTTTGAATCCTCCATCTAATGAACCAATTAAAGGATTTAATCCATATTACTCAATAACTAAATATCATAAATAATTCAATATGAAAGAACATCCTGAAATATTAAATTTCAAAGAAATACATGTGAATACCACTATGGCACTATATCAGCTTCTTACAGGTGCAGCCAGCAGGCTACACTACATGATTTACATGCTTTTAAGTTTTAATGTATTTCCTTGAATCCACATCACTGAATTAGCGTCCAGAGACAGAAAATTGCAATAGGCAGCACCAAAAATAACCAATAAGCCAGCAATAGTTAAATCGACAGGCCTATATTCAAAATACTATCCAAAAAATCGTTCAACAGTTCAACATGAGGCCATTTATTACTTTATTTCAGACTTTTAGTTAGGGCTAAATCCTTCAGCAAACTTACAGGCTTATAGCATGCCTAAATGGCCAAAAAACCCAACATCATGCGATTCATGCCCTAATCGACAAATACAAAAATAGATAAATGTCATGCCCTAATAGGAAAATCAAAAGAAAATTGCATAACAACTTAAAATCTTCGGAATAATCAAAGAAGAACGATGAAACTTCAACCAAGATCACTCTAACATAGTAACATGATAGTAAGTAATTAGCACAAGTGCACAACAAATAAAATAAAAAAGAGCATTAAATAGCAAGGACTAAGGAGGAGAAAAGCTTCGAGCAGGAAGGACCGTCAAGGAGACGACGACACTGACAAGTGACGAGGAGAGAAGCTCCGTCAAGGTTCTCAAGGAGGCAGGAAGCCAGAAAGGCAGGAAGCACTGCGATATTAGTTGAGAAAACCCTAGATTCGACAGCCCTAGAGGAGAAGAGATGAAGACGGAAGACTCGATGTCTCGAAGTCTCAAAAACTTGAAATGAGCCCTAAATGGTTTCATTTATTCGTATAATACGCGAAACGGCGAAATGAGTCAGGGCTGGGCAGCGCGGGTCGAACTGTGTCATTTATGAGTCATTGTCGGGTTTCCGGGTTGACCCGAACCCGACCCGAAATTTAAAACGGGATGAAAAATAGAACCCGAACCCGAAAAACTCGGGTCGGGTTTTTGGGTCGTGTCATATATTGACAGGCCTACTAAAAAGTTGCTTTTGAAAGAATTGAAAAAGTTGTCCCAAACAAAGTTTAACGGCTTTCTTATTACTTCTTAAAACAACTTTTTTGTACAAAAAGTTTAAGAAGTAGTAAGAAAGCTGGCCCTAACGAAGCCTAAGAAAATGTTCTCCATTTTTCAAATTCTCATGAAGAAGTCTATATATCTACTCTCATTTGGATCTCATTTTCCATCTTTAAGTCTACACTTGTTCAATAAATCAATATTTCACTCATTTCGTTCAATTTTTTATACTCTTTGGCGTGTTGATTAGCTAATTTTAAATGTGTCAAGATCTTCAGTTACTCGGATGTTCGCGAACATAAATAGTACTAAGAGTTTTCCAAATCTTATTTGAGTGGGCTCCCACAATAATGATTATTAGAAAATGGTTGTTTTGAAGAAGATTCTAAGATTGAATCTTGGTAGTGCTCAAGATAATGTTGGTCATGTTCACATCAATGCCTACTACAGAGTGTTGAAGAAATGGAATCCCTTAATTATCAAAAGAACATAATTAATCATTCACAAATCTCTCAACTAGTACAGTATTAGTCATAATTTGAATCATATTAGCTACTACAATGATCAAGAGACTAATCAAACCTTCTTGATTGATCCTCTTTCTATCAATCACTCAAGCAATTACTACTTGTTCGACTTCATTAAATATTGAAAAATCGCTCACTAAGTAAACTAAGGCTTCGTTTGGGACGGCTTTCTTAATGCTTCTTAAAGCAGCTTTCTAGTATAAAAATTTTAATTTTTTAAACTAGAATACTAGAAAGCTGTTTTTAGAAGAAATAAAAAACTGTCCCAAATGAAATCCGTTTAGACCTAAGACTTCATTTGGGACTGCCTTCTTACTGCTTTCTACTGCTCAGAATGATAATCACAAACTCATCAGATTAGAGGATGACAAGCCACTCCAGCCAGAAGTCACATGAATTTCTAAGTGAATTGTTTATTTAATCGAGGATTACACTATGACCAAGTACTGAACTTAGAGCAATTTATTCTAAGAAGATAGCTGGTCAGATACATCCAATTTGTAGTCATTTCATACAATCTTCAATGTTCAGAAATTATATAAATAAGAAGCTACAGTTAGAACCCAGATGAACTTAGTTTCTGGAAAGAAAATAGCTTTCTTTACTGCAGCAAATAACTAAGAAAATAACATTCTTTACAGCAGATATTGTAATATGATATCTTAATAATAAGGATAATATTATGGATTTGAGGTTAGGGAAAATATATTTGATTTGTGTTTTCTATAACTTTTATTTTTTATTTCTAAAAACAAATTCTTTATTGTATCATTTCTAACCCAAATAATAATATTGTCACACTTCATCATACAACAATTAAAAAATTAAAATTAAATACTATAAGAACATCTAAAATAAAACATTCATGAAAATATAATTTTGGAAACAACAAAAATCTGATTACATCATAATATTTTCCTCTCTATGTAACTTCTTGTACGCAGCTCATCTTAGTCTGTTGGCTGGGAGTTTTAGCTAACAATCAAGAGATTTCGTATGTGAAGATCTGTGTGTGAGTTTGTCTTAATTGACCTAAATGTCTTCCAAAAAAAGGAAAAAAAAACTTTTTATCAGCCCTTAAATGATTGCACTCATCTTCCTTCACCTTCAAATGAGATTAATTACCAATATATTATGCAAAACAGACAAATAAAGGCTAATTAACACATCTTATCTACATTTCTTCTTCAATCTCTACCTTTCCTCTCTTTAAAATTCTCTGATGCTAACCCAACTTACAAACAAAATTGGGGATTGATGAATATTGGTACTTTAGCACTTATCAGCTTTTGTTATCTTCAGCTTTTTGACAGTAGTTAAGAAAAGCCTGTATTCAAAAATAATAATAATAAATAATACAAAATATTTTTAAGAAATTAGGGTTTGAGAAAAAAAGAGAAAAAAAAAAAAACTGAAAGGAAGCTTACTCCCATGGGACATCTCCAACCATCATCCAATCTCCTTCCTTATCTTCATATGTGAGAACATTTGCTGTGGTTGAAGGGTTTTGACATACATCAGGATCTGCATTTATTCATGCAATAATAATAATAATAATAATAATAAATTAATAAAATAAAATCATAGAAATGTTTCTCCTACTGTCTTTGGGCTCCTATTGGTTGTATGCTTGATGCATTTTTTTTAAATAATGTAATATTTTTTACTTTATATATATATTCTTGAAATTTTCCTTATTTATAAAATTAGTTTGTAATTATATAAAAATAAATCATCAAATTTGTGTATTTGTATGTGCTACAATCAAATCATGAAAATTTTAACAAATTATTGAAAAAATAATGTAATTTCTTTAAAAGGAAATCATTTTTTTTATTATGATTGTTAAAATAGTTTCAAAAATTCCTGATTGATAAAACATCAATCAACCAATCACATAGTCAATTGTTCTAAGAAAAAAAATGCTAATAATGTTGGAAGACAATATGCGGCATTGCATGTGAGCCACAATATATTGAAAGAGATGATAATAACTTAAAAAATAAATTAAGAATAAAAAAAAATAATTATATAAAATTAAATGAAATTGTTCTTACAGACAATTGTGGTCCTGAACATCTGTTGAAGTGTTCTTATCAGACTTTGATAGCCATCTTGAGTTAATAAATTTAGCTTCCTTCCAATTGGAATTCCTTCCATATAGACCTTCACAAATAAGCTTTCAGTCCTGTAAACAAATGAAGAAGAAGAAGAAGAAGAAGAAGAAGAGGAGAAGTCAATGTTATTTTATCTGAATATTCTGATATGTTTGTGTTAGGATGAAAGGACAAATGATCAGAATTATTTCATAAGAGCTCAAAAGTAAATGAGAAAAGAAAGAAACAGGAACTGAAAAATAGGAACAATAGAGAAATAATCTCAATACAAAGGAGGAAATGATAAAAAAGAAGAAGAGGAAGAAGAAGAAGAACGGTGAATGTTGCAAGTATGTTACTACCTTTCAGTGGGAGAATTTGCCTGAAAGGAAGAAGTAGAGAGGCTCAGTCCGAGCTGTAGATCTGTGCTTAAGGCCCTCCTGGTATTATAGGAGGAAGATGAAGAAGAAGAAATAGGGGGGTGGCTGCTGCTATCTATGGAGGAAGAAGGAGAATTTTCTAGTTCTTCCATTTCGATAAACAAAGACAGGTATGAGCTTGTAGATGCCCATAGCCTGTAATATATATACCAATATAAAATAGAAAATTACTGTGTTTTAGGAAATTAAGGTTTCATTTGGACTGATTTCTTATTGATTTCTAAAGCAGTTTTCTAGTACAAAAAATTTAATTTTTAAACTAGCGAGTTGCTTTAGAAAGCATTATGAAAGCCCTACCAAACGGAGCAAATTATTAGGTGTGGACACCGAACAGAGAGAATCGTCCGATTTTCTCTCTGTCTACAATGAAAATATAGTCAAAGCAACTACTACAGTAGCTACACTTTGACTGTAGACAGAGAGAAAACCAGACGGTTCTCTCTGTCTGATATCCGCACCTAATAATTTCTCCTCAAACGGAGCCTAATTGACTTTTTTTTTGAAAGGGATATTATTTACAGGTGGTAGGCTGGGAAGGCAACTAGGCAAGACCTCACATGTTAGAAATTAGAAAAAAAAAGTTATATGTTGATTTTTGATGAAATAAATAATTAATTATGTATGACGTGGATGAAAATGTATTTTAATAAAAAAAAGTATAGTAAGGAATCATATAATTATTTAATATAATTGATGATTTATGAAATAAAAAAAATCATTTTTTTCATTTTATTCGCAAAATGAGAAGATGATATTTATGGCTTAATTGTTTGTGTGTCTAATGCTTGACTTCCTAACGTCAAATGCATGAAAAATATTTGTTATAGTTTGTAATAAGAAGAGGGGATTCATTCATATGCTTTCAAACTAATGCTCAAACTTTTAAAATGATTTATTAAACTCTTGAATTTGTGCATTTTATAATCAAATCATTGGTAATTTAATGAACATAAAACTATAGGTTCAATTTTTGTTGTGCTCTTTGGATGATATTATGTATTCTTGGTAGGTCAAACTTTTAGCTCCCAACTAAGGATATGAACGAGTCAAGTTGAGTCGTCTATATGTCCAATCAAACTAAATTTGTTTAGTTCTTATTGAGCTCGAGCTCGAGCTCACTAATTATTAAGATTGAGCTCGACTCATTTAAATTACATAGGCTCTAGCTCATTTGGAAAACTCGACTTTGACCTAAAAGTTGATCATTAATCTTTATAAGTATTCATTTTCTATCCATATTATCTACTAAGTTGTGTCAAAACTTCAACACATTGGTAGACAAATTAATCAAACACTCAAATCGAAATTGAAACTGATTTAAGTTTCATTTGGGACAACTTTCTTACTGCTTTCTAAAACAACTTTCTAGTATAATAATTTCTTGAACTAAAAATTTTTGTACTAAAAAGCAGCCTTAAAAAGCAAAAAAACTGTCCCAAACGAAACCTCAATAAACTGCAATTGTTACCAACTGCATTTCGCTTCTCACCACAAGATCATGATGAGTTAGGAAGACCTGCACGGATCAATTGAATCCAACCTGATCAATTTCTACAAGGCATGCTATAACAATCTTGGATTTTAGTCCAAAACGTGTAGGTTAGATGAATTTTGCAAGTCACCCTCTACCAATTATTTTCTCCAAAATAAGCTCTTTATTGTGCTGGGCATGAATTGGGTAGGCCGGATTGCTTTTCTTTTAGGAAGAAATGCTCGTAAGTTTGTGAATGCAAGCTTTTGCAATATGGAAGTTGATAATGAATATTATCAGAATTAGGCAGACAGTTCTCATTCTATCTATCTATCTCTTTTGTCATTTCATTCACGTTTCTTAATGTCATCAAATCAAATAAAGAGCTTAGGCCTTATCCTCACTTTATTCTTAGGTAATTTCAAAAGATTATAATTTTAAGTATAAATTTCTCTCTTTCTATCTCTTAATGTCATCAATTTTGATATAATAATTTGAAAATGCCGTATATTAAGTGTCTGTTTGGGATGGCTGCAGCGTTTTATAAAGTTGATTGTGAAGTTGCTCTGGGGAAAAGTATTGAGATACTATGATTACGAATTTAAAGCAATTTTACTCCACAATAATAATTGAAAAACAATAAGAAAACAGTGAGAAAGTCGTAGCCAAACAAAATTGTAGTTGTCGGAAAAGCAAAGTAGCTAAAAACATATCATAAATAAGCTCTAAGGGCATGTTTGGGACGGCTACAATGTTTTATAAAGTTGGTTTTAGAATTGTCGTATAGAAAGCAATTTCACTATTATGGTTGCAGAAAACAGCTTTTCAGTACAGAAATTTTTGAAAAACGGTGAGAAAATAGTAAAAAAATAGTAGTCAGACGAAATTGTGACTGATGTTAAAAAGACAAAGTAGCCATAAAACGGTCCAAAAAAGACTCTAAAACTTTAAAAAGAAGATGTGAGAAAACTAAGAGATCACTCCATCCAAAAGTCTCAAGAATTTTCTTATTGAATTGTTTATTTACTCGAGAATTAGACTATGACCAAGCATTGAACTTAGTGTAATTTATTCTAATAGATAGTTGGTTAGATACATCCAATTTGTAAGAGGAAGTTTTCTTATTATATAATATTTATCTTAATCTTACTCATCAAATAGATAAAATAAGGTTTGAGGTTTGGAATAAAAAAATATTCCCTAAGTCTTAGGCACATTTTTTAAAGTCAAGAGTCTAAATTTTTGTTTTACCAATATATATATCATGCAAATTTAATATTAAATTTTATTATATTCTTATTTTTATACTAATAGAAATTAGAGCTATAATTCTTCATAATAAACAAAAGTAATTAAAATTTAACTATCAATTAAGTAAATTTATATAAAAATTTTCAATTTTACACATTTCTCTCTATATTCAAAATAAATTTCATTTATTTCCTAAAAAATTGACTTGTAAAAAAGTATGTAACATTTGAAGTATTGCTAGTCCCTTTCAAAGAAAGACAAATAGGTACTTGAAGGAGACAATAGGCATGCAAATCAACCATAAAATAGCCTTAAAGCAACCAACAACTCCCCCTCTCTTTCTCTCTACGTTTCCACTCATTTTGTCATATATACACTATTAATAAATTAGGCTTTCGCAGCACTTTTTAGGATCTATTATAGCGGTTTAAACACTTACTAATTTATTTGCAGCGGTTGCAAATCCACTGTAGTTGTGTTCGCTGCGAAAACATTAACTTTTTGGTAGCGATAACAGCATTAAAATAATTCAAAATTATATGAAATATTTTTTCTTGAAGTCCTAAGTTTTTATAGAGGGAAACATTCCTTTAGAATATTGGTGTCCATGTTTCCCTTGGGCTGTCTCTGTGATAATAATGAGTGGAAAATGTTGGGCAGACAATAAAAAAAGAAGTGAAAACAAAGCTAAATTTGTATTTTTGATAAAATTGATGAGCCGAAAAAAAAAAAGAGTAAAATAAAGGAGAGGAAATATGGCTAAAGCTGAGAAAGAAGAGAATGGAAACACAGACAAGACAGCAAGAGAAAGGGCTTTTGTGCTTGCATGGAATGAATTGAAGATCTGAGTCGTCAGTGACTGAAATGTATTGTTTGTTCCTAAAGGAGTGGTCTATTGTAGCAAAGAATGAAAAGTAGAGGAACTTTTGCTCCCTCTTAGAGTCTACAAATCATTTCCTTTCTCACATTGCTAGCATGAGTGAAATTCTCTACAAAATCATTTCTTTTGTTTTAATGAGCATATAATACAATTTCTTTTATTAGGTATCCATATATTGCACTTATTTTAAAGAAAATTCAATATGTTTAAGGCCTATCAAGACTAATTTCTTAGTCACACTACTAAAAAGAGGGATTTTTGCAGCACTTATTACTGGAGGTAGATAAATCATATCTTAGATAAATATACACAACTATGTTTACCGCTGCTAAAAATAAATATATTTCTCATATTCCAAGCCTGACCACCCATTCGACGATCTAACTCAATTTTCTGCGCTATTCATCTTATCGTCCGTCTACGAGCTGCATTTGGTTGGCATTCACTCGTCTCCACACCGAACCCTCCCACACTCTCAACCCACCGCCACATAATCAGCCGTCTTCATCGAATCTCCAATCACGGTTAAATCTGCCGTATCCTCTGCTAGTTCGAAAGCCAAGCCCTTGATGCAGCTCTCTACTTCTTGTTAACCTCAAATACTTTCGGCTTAAGATGAGCATAATACAAATTTTTTTATTTGGTACCCATATATTGCACTTATTTCACTGAATCTCCCACTTAGGCCTACCAAGACTAATTCCTTAGTCTCATACAATAATAACATCAAATATTTATCCTATAATTATGAGGGGTGAGCTATTTGAATCCTTTTTCTCCATTAGTATCATTAAGAGTCAAATTCTCATTCAAATCTAATAAAAAGAAGACAATTTCTAATACTTTCTAACCACGTATTTTTAGATCTACTTCTAAATTGGTCATCGTCGAAAGGCCGACGTTTAGTCATGATATCCTCATATGAAAATTTAATTATTAATTTCTTATTAATTTGGTTGTTAAGTTTAAGTGTTAATTTCATAAATGGAATTTTCAGTGAAATATCTCATAAGAAAATACAAATCTAATGCCTAAATCTTTATACTATTTCAATCTCTAAATCACATAAAAATACTACTAATATTAATTCTTGAAAAAAAAAATCTTTTAATGCATATAATTTAATGTGATTTAGATATTAAATAATACATAAATAAATATAAATAATTTATTTTAAGTGCTCCTTACATATATAAATATTTAAAAATTTTATGATATATATGTTAATTCTTCATAAGAAAATGACATGAATATTATTAATTTAAAAACAAAGATGCTATATATATTATGTAAGTAAAATACATAATGTAAGTGTCTTAATCCTCATAAGCCACATTTCCTCCATCAAACCACAATGTCTCCATTCCCACAAACAAAGAAAATCAGAAGAGCTGAGCACCATAACTTTGCTTTCAAGACTAAAGACTTTTCTTCAATCCCAAAGTGTGGATTTATTCAAAGAGCAGTACCCAATCAAATAATAATGTTGTCTACCTTTGAAAGCCTCTTTTATTAAATTTTTTTTGTCT